GCCCTGACATGCATTCCGATTTGCATAAAAGCACAGCCTACAAGGCAGCATTTTTTTTGCTGCAGCAACTAAAAAAAAATCAGAACTAGATATGTGCGATTACTTTTTCTTGTAGAGATGATCACCTCATTCACGCTTACAAGATATATATATATATATATAGAAGCTGTCATATTTCTTGTCTGTAAATGCAATAGCTGTAATTAAACTAATTCTAGCTATGCATATTTAGTCACCCCCTGCAAAACAACCTTTTGTATATGCTTGTGAGGAAACTGGTTTGCAGAGACATATAGCTTTAAGCAAATAAACTGAACTGATTGGCTGCATGTCATTGTTACCGGGGGGGGGGGGGGGGTGTAAACAAAAAATATGCCCAAACTACAGCTGTCTAAGGTTGTGAATAGCAGTGAACTGATAAAAAGGTAAGCTTTGCGGGGGTCTTTAAAGAAACCACCACCATCCACCCTGTTTCATGCTGTAAATGCTAGCTGTGGAACATTTGGCTCAGTCCTAGTAGTTTCTCTCATCTTTTTAATTGGGAGAGACTAGTTACTATGGTGATTGTTGTCAGGGAAGCAAGATAATTCCATAATGGAGCATAAATCCAAGACTTCCACAACTAAACACAGCTGCTCATTTGAGTTCCCTGCAAGTCTGTAGAAATCTTACATATTTAAAATTTGTATTCAGAAATTAGTAACATATTACAGAGCTCAACCCATTATGTCAAAAGTCTACTAGAAAAGCACTGCTGTTGGTGTCCCAGAATATCACCAATATCAACAGTCTTCAGGAACAATATATGACTGCCATAGCCAAATAAGAAACATGTTAACTTAAGCTTTCATCAAATGAAAGATTAAAACTGAGAGTCTATACTCAATTTGGTAAGGTCTCTTCCCCTGTAGTCTTTCAACCTTATCTGGTGGTGGAAAGTGCTGTCACATCACAGCTGACTTATCTGGTGGTGGAAAGTGCTGTCACATCACAGCTGACTTATGGTGATCCCTTGTAGGGTTTTCAAAGCAAGAGATGTTCAGAGGTGGTTTGCCAATTGCCTGTCCCCGCATCACGACCCTGGCATTCCTTGTAGGTCTCCCATCCAAATACTTGCCAGGGCTTAGCGTCTGAGATCGGGCTAGCCTGGGCTACCCAGGTCAGGGGGGGTTCAACCTTGTCTACTCCTCAAAAATATCCAGTTGGCACTGTGATTCACAGAGCTGCATGGGTAAGCTTATAACATATACACTTACATCGCGAGAGTACTTCCAGAAAACAGGCTTTACAGAAAACCCAGTTCTTTAAAAAAAAACAAAGAACACCTTACCTGTTGTGCCTTTTACAAGGAGATGGACTGGAATGTCCAGAAGAGCTGGTACTCAAAGTGCTATCAGGACTGCTTAATGAACACACACGGTCAATATTTAGAGTACTCTGGCAAGCTTCACAATCAAGGCTACCATTACACCTGATACAGGAAACGAAGACAATCAGATATGCCTGGAGATATGAGTGGCCAGGAAAGGGAAAAACTGGAAAATGCGGGGGAGCATTGGGAAAACTCCTGCAAAATGTTCTGTCTTATAACATGATTCTTAAGGCAAAGTTTTTCACATTCACACAGGAAAAAAAACTCCTTTGAAATATTTTCTCTTTTTGAGTGTGAAAACCCCCCGAGTCTTATAAAGCATGAAAAAGTCTGAGATTTTTTCCCAATGGAAAAATTGTAGCACTGGGAAAAAGACACCTCTATTCTATAGACATACAACATTTTCAAGTAGGCTTCCCAAGTCCCCCCGGAGGGCGGGGAAACCCCCGCCCCAGAGTCCCATTCCCCACCGGATCGGGCCCCAGGGGGAACTCCGCCCTGACGTGCACGTCACCAGGAAGTGACGTGAAGACGCCGGGCACGCTGGGGGCGGGGCCACAGTCATCCGAGGGAAAACTCTATGGTTTTCCCTCGGATGGTCGTGGCCCCACCCCCAGCGTGCCTGGCGTCGTCACGTCACTCCCTGGTGGTGTGGATGCGGCGCGCGCACTCCGGGATCGGCCCGGGAGTCCCCCACTGTGGAGGAAGGTAACACTTGGCAACCCTATTTTCAAGATTTTTTTTTGTTTAAATGTAAATACTTTTAGCAACAATTAATACGCATAGTGTGTTGAATGATAATACATTACTAAAAAGTTCAGTGTTTCCAATGTTATAAAGTTTAGCTGAATATCCAAACATGCTATTATTCCTACCTACTGTGACTGAGTTTCTGTCCAAATAATGCACTTCGTAACAGATTTTTTTCCTATCTTCAACTGTTATTTTTTCCTCCCTCTCAAATAGCAAAAGCTTTAAAGTATGTACTTTTTCAAGTAATGGCTATACTTGTAATTTTTCTTATAGAAAATGGAGATGTCTATACTTTTGAATCCCATAAATATGCTAAACAGTATAATTTATATGCTAATTAAATTATAAATGATGTATTTGGGGAGAGATAGAAAAAAATTCTCTTTGTCTACTCTCTCTACCCTGTGCATAATTTTATAAACCTCTGTCATGTTGTCCCCCCCCCCTTAGCTGCCTCTTTTCTAAACTGAAAAGTCCCAGACTCTTCGGCCGTTCCTCAGAGGGACGGCACTCCAACCCCTGAATCATCTTGGTCGCCCTCCTCTGTGCTCTTTCCAGCTCTGCGATGTCCTTTTTGGGATACGGTGACCAGAACTGTATCAGTATTCCAAATGAGGCTGGACCATAGGTCTATACAGGGGCATTATTATATCAGCCGTTTTATTCTCATTTCCTTTCCTAATAATCCCTAATAGTTTGCCTTTTTTTTTACTGCTGCAGCACACTGGGTTGACACATATTTACATATACATACTTAGGAAGCTTCATTACAGGTAAGAAAGGAAAACCATTACAGTTCCAGCATGCACAATGTTCTAAGGCAGGGGTGTCAAAGATCCAGCCCGCGCAGGGCTGCACCCAGCAGAGGAACAGCTGACTCTGTGCTGCTTCCTGGTTCCTCTTTGTAACACTGCAGTTCCTTTTACACAGTCTGTCCTATTTCCTGCTTCAAGAGGAGAGAAAGAAAGCCTTCCCTCCATTGGCTGAGGGCTCCTCCCCTCTCCCCCTCCTCTGAGGAGGGAGGAGGAGGGAAACACAGAGAGGGAAAATAGCATCTCCTGGGACTTTTCAGAAGACCAGGGAGGGAGCCAGCCAGCCAGAAAAAGAAAGAGAGAGAGTCCTCTGTTTAGGACCCAAGACGTTTTTTTTTTCAGGTATGGGGGGGGAGTCCTGTGTTTAGACCCAAAAATGTTTTATTCCAGGAATTGGGGGGGCTGTGTTTAAGACCAAAAAACTTTTTATACCAGGTATAGAAGAGAGAGAGGGGGGGAGGGAGGGAGAGGGAGAGAGAGACAGAGAGAGAGAGACCATCCCACGGCACTTGGAGAGATCCCCCTTTTCATTCCTAACAGATGGGGGGGACCAAACAGCACAGCTTGCATTCATTATTAGTGAAAGGGGGCAAGAGTACAGCGGTACCTTAATGACTAATGAAATTTGTGGCAGGACATGAGCTTTCATGAATCACTGCTCACTTCGTCAGATACAGCTGGAATGGGTGTCCATCTGTCCTTATAGCTTGGAGAGAGTGATTTCAGATGCCAAAAGACAAGAACAGACATTGGTAATGAGAGAAGAAACCTAGATCTCAGTTCAGTCCAGGAGTTTACATTGTCTTGACCTTCATGATCAGTTGAGCTCTGAGCAGGAGCAGGAGAGAGAGCTGTGAGAGAGGTGAGTGGGTTTCTTTTACTTGCTTTCAGCTGAGAGAATTCAGCTAAGGATATTTTGTGGGAAAACTGTGTTTAGCAGTGTGTGGAAGCACTTAGAGTTCTTGCAGAGTCGCTGATTGAGTGTGGGAGAGGAACGGGCATTGTTTGACTGGGATTGCCTGTAATTGAGAGGAAGTGGAAGGGGCATTGTTTTGCCTGTGATTGAGTGCTTGGGTGAATTTGAATAGCTGCTGCCTGACCTCTGCTGGGGGAGGCCTCTATTTAAGGAAGCACCTTGCCAGAGGCACGAGCCAAAGGGCGAGCTAAAGGGCTCTTTGCCTGTGGCTCTTAGCCTAGGGACTCTTAGACTAGGGGCTCTGTAAGAAGCCCAAAAAGAGCCAGAAAGACAAGGCCCTAGGCTCTTTGTCTTTCCCGTAAAATAATTTGACTTTGATAACAAAAACCACATAAATACCAAGGGTTTAAAAGGGGGATTATATTTATTTATTTTAAAAGAATTATGAAGCCAGAATGCCAGCAGGGGGTTGGGGGCTATCCAGTGTTTTGCACGGAGTGTCACATGTATGACTATCTGCCCACTGGGCAGAAATCTTGGGTGTGTCCACGGTGCAAGGAGCTCCTGGTTCTCAGGGAACGTGTGTGCTCCCTTGAGGCCAAGGTGGCTGACCTGGAGAAGCAGAGACAGTCAGCTAGGCGCACAGAAAAGACTCTCGGGGACTTGTTAGCTACGTCCCACTCTGGATCTGGCAGCCCCGCTGCTGTCAGGGAGCATGAGGGTCTAGGGGAAACAGGGCACCGTGCTGAGGATAAGGGGAATGTGCCCTCAGAAGGGACCTCTTCCCCAGCTGGTGAGCGGCTCTCCTTTTGCACCAAGGAACCATCCCTGAGCAGGGTGGGAGGGGGGCTCTTGGTAGTGGGTGATTCGATCCTTAGGCAGGTAGACAGCTGGGTGGCGAACCCGCGTACTGACCGTATGGTGACTTGCCTGCCTGGTGCGAAGGTAGCGGACATTACGCGTGTTTTAGATAGGCTGGTAGATAGTGCTGGGGAGGAGCCAGTGGTCGTGGTGCATGTCGGCACCAACGATGTGGGGAAATGCAGTCGTGAGGTCCTGGAGGAGAAATTTAGGCTGCTGGGCAGGAAACTTAGGTCCAGGACCTCCAAGGTAGCCTTCTCAGAAGTGTTACCTGTTCCACGCGCAGGGCCGGAGAGACAGGCAGAGATCAGGAGTCTCAATGCGTGGATGAGACGATGGTGTAGGGGGGAAGGGTTCAGGTTTGTTAGGCACTGGGATACTTTTTGGAACAAGAGGGAGCTGTACAGGCGAGACGGTCTCCACTTGTCCCGAGAAGGAACCAGGCTGCTGGCACTTAAAATCAAAAAGGTGGCAGAGCAGCTTTTAAACTGAATATTGGGGGAAAGCCGACAGGAGATGAAAAGTCTCTGGTTCGGGTTGGCTCATCTGAGAGAGGTGAGGGGGTACCGGTTGCTTTTCTACAGGGAGGTGGATTGAAATTGTCCACAGAGGCCATGGCTGGTGACATGGACTGCCGGACAACGACTCGAGATAGCAAGAGGAAGGATGCAGGCTTAACTTGTAAGGGAAATTACAGCTGTTTCTATACAAATGCTAGAAGTGTCCGAGGTAAAATCGGGGAGTTGGAGTGCTTGGTGTCGGAGGGAAAAATAGACATTGTGGGTATTTCTGAAACTTGGTGGGATGAGGAAAATCAGTGGGACACAGTGATTCCCGGTTATATATTATATCGGAAGGATAGGGGGGGAAGGGTTGGAGGTGGGGTAGCTCTGTATGTCAGAGAGGGTATAAAGTCTAGAAAGATTGAGAGGCTAAGTGAATTGGATTCGCTTCTGGAAGTTCTATGGGTTGAAATAGGGGGGCCAAAAGGAAACTTAACACTGGGAGTTTGTTATCGCCCACCAGATCAAAAGATAGAGGAGGATTATAAAATGATGAATGCCTTAAAGATAGCAACTAGACAAAAACACTGTGTAATAATAGGTGATTTTAACTACCCACACATTGATTGGGTCAATATGTGTTCTAGCCGGGAAAAAGAGATTGAGTTTCTAGACACTCTAAATGACTGTGCTATGGAGCAGATGGTCACGGAACCTACCAGGGGAGAGGCGATCCTTGATTTGGTCCTAAGTAACACTCAAGACCTGGTGAGAGATGTAAAAGTGATTGCACCGCTTGGAAACAGTGATCATAATGTTGTTGAGTTCATCATTTGTACAAATAGAGAATTGGCCAAAAAGACTCACACAACCATTTTTAACTTTAAAAGGGGTAATTTCTCTGATATGAGGGGACACGTGGGGAGGAAACTGAAAGGAAAAGTAGAAAGGGTCAAAACAATTGGGGAAGCTTGGGATCTATTTAAAACTACGATCCTAGAAGCTCAAAAAATATATATTCCGCAGGTTAGGAAAGGCACAAACAGGTATAGGAAAAAGCCTGCATGGTTAACAAACAGAGTAATGGAGGCTGTAAAAAGTAAAAAGAATTCCTTTAAGCAGTGGAAAGCTAGTCACAGTGAGGCTGATAAAACGGAACACAGGCTATGGCAAATAAAATGCAAGTCTGAGGTCAGGCAGGCAAAAAGGGAATATGAGGAGCATATAGCAAAAAACGTAAAAACCAACAATAAAACTTTCTTCAAATACATTAGAAACAGGAAACCAGCCAGGGAGGCAGTGGGGCCCTTGGACGACCAAGGGGTAAAAGGAGTATTGAAGGATGATAGGGAAATGGCTGAGAAGCTAAATGCATTTTTTGCCTCCGTCTTCACTGTGGAAGATGAGAAGTGCTTGCCCACTCCAGAACCACTGATTTCAGGAGGGGTGTTGAAAGACCTGAGTCAGATTGAGGTGACGAGAGAGGAGGTCCTAAAACTGATAGACAACTTAAAAACTGAAAAATCACCAGGCCCAGATGGCATACATCCGAGAGTTCTGAAAGAACTCAAATGTGAACTTGTAGATCTCCTGACAAAGATATGTAATCTTTCCTTAAAATCTGCCTCCATTCCTGAGGATTGGAAGGTAGCTAATGTCACTCCCATCTTTAAAAAGGGTTCCAGAGGAGATCCGGGAAATTACAGGCCAGTCAGTCTGACGTCGATACCGGGTAAATTGGTGGAAACCATTATTAAGGAAAGAATTAGTAGGCACATAGATGAACAAAACCTATTGAGGCAGACTCAGCACGGTTTCTGTAAGGGAAGATCTTGTCTCACTAACCTGTTAGTGTTCTTTGAGGGGGTGAACAAACATGTGGACAAGGGGGATCCAATAGATATTATTTACCTTGACTTCCAGAAAGCTTTTGATAAAGTTCCTCATCAAAGGCTCCTAAGTAAGCTCAAAAATCATGGGATAGAAGGACAAGTCCTTTTATGGATCAAAAACTGGCTAGTTCATAGAAAACAGAGAGTGAGTGTAGGTGGGCAATTTTCTCAGTGGAGGGTGGTAAGCAGTGGGGTACCGCAGGGATCAGTACTTGGTCCACTGCTTTTTAACTTGTTCATTAATGATTTGGAGATGGGAGTAAGCAGTGAAGTGGCTAAATTTGCGGATGATACAAAGTTGTTCAGGGTGGTGAAAACCAGTGAGGATTGTGAGGCACTCCAAGGGGATCTGTCAAGGATGGGCGAGTGGGCGTCAACATGGCAAATGGGGTTCAATGTGGCCAAGTGCAAGGTGATGCACATTGGAGCCAAAAATCCTAAATATAAATACACATTGATGGGGTCTGAACTGGCAGAGACTGAGCAAGAGAGAGATCTTGGAGTTGTAGTGGATAACTCACTGAAAATGTCGAGACAGTGTGTGACTGCAATAAAGAAGGCCAATGCTATGCTGGGGATTATTAGGAAGGGTATTGAAAACAGATCAGCCAATATAATAATGCCCCTATATAAATCAATGGTGAGACCTCATTTGGAATACTGTGTGCAGTTCTGGGCACCACACCTTAAAAAGGATATTATAGCTTTGGAAAAAGTGCAGAAAAGGGCAACTCGAATGATAAAAGGGTTGGAACACTTTCCCTATGAGGAAAGGTTAAAGCGCTTAGGGCTCTTTAGCTTGGAGAAAAGACGACTGAGGGGTGACATGATCGAGGTTTATAAGATTATGCATGGGAAAGAGCAGGTAAAGAAAGAGGTACTTTTCTCCCTTTCTCACAATACAAGAACTCGTGGGCACTCCATGAAACTGCAGAGCGGTCGGGTTAGAACGGATAAAAGGAAGTACTTCTTCACCCAAAGAGTGATTAACACATGGAATTCACTGCCACAGGAAGTGGTGGGTGCTACAAGCATGGATGGCTTCAAAAGGGAATTAGATAAGCATATGGAGCAGAGGTCCATCAGTGGCTATTAGCCACAAGGTATAGCTAGGGGCTCTGGGGCAAGTGATGCTCTGTCTTCTTGGTGCTTGGGGGGGGGGGTCAACAGTGGGAGGGCTTCTAATGTCCTGGCCCCACTGCTGGACCTCCTGATGGCACTGGTATTTCTGGCCATCCAGTGTTGGACTGGATGGGCCTTTGGCCTGATCCAACATTGGCGTCTCTTATGTTCTTATGTTCTTAATTCAGCAGTCTCTCTTTTTAATCTTCCTTTGAAATTCCTTTGTCAGAGAACTGCTACCCTTAGGTTAGCAAATGAATGCCCTGGAAGGTTAAAATGGTCCCGCACTGGTTTTTTAATGTTGTGGTTTCTAACAGTGGTAGAAAGAGTAAGAGTCCAGTTGCACCTTTAAAGACTAACAAAATTGTGGTAGGGTATGTGCTTTTGTGAATCACTGCTCACTTCTTCAGTCTTATTTCCGTTTATTCTTTGCATCCTCCTGGACTGAATCCTCCTGTACCATACTGAGACCTAGGTTTCCTGTCTCATTACCAATGTTGATATCTCCACGGCTCTGTATATCACACCAATGCTGATATCTCCACCCCTCTGCATATCACACCTAATCCAATCACGCTTGCCATTGCCTTTTGGCATATGAAATCATCTTTATAAAGTTTATATCTCCGGTACCTTGTGTTACATTTTATGGCACACACGGCCTGGTCCGACAAAGTGATATTTATGTCAGATCCGGCCCTCATAACAATTGAGTTCGATACCTCTGTTCTAAGGAAAGCAGAAGATAAAATTGAAGAATAATTTCTTACTCTGCAAGTGAATGCCTTTGTGCCACATCTTCTTCATCTGTGTCACTGCTGATGGTAATCACACTCACTGCTGGACTTGGGGAATCCGCAATGATGATAGCCTGCCGTTGTTTGTTTGAAATAGATGAATCGGGGTCCAGCCCATCAGATGGTTTGCAATAGTTGCTTTCCTGTCCCTCCGAGTTATGATTGTCCCGTGTTTCTACACAACTTAGTTTCTCACCAGCCTTCACATTAATTATCTTTGGAGACACAAATGCTGAATTTTGGATATTGGTATTTTGCAACACATTACTCCTGTGAAAAAGACATTGTATTTAGACACTTTGTAAAGCTGTTTCTTTCGAAAGAAACTTGATTCTGCCCTCTCTCCCCCAAGCTAACTTAAACTGGAACACAAACTTTGAAACAGCAATGAATATAAATAAATGAATGAAACATAAAACAATGGACATACAGATAAGCACTGTAAATGTTGTTTTCCAGAGAAATAATGGAAAACTCTCCAGGTAACTATTGCAAATCACAAGCAGGGTTGTTTCAGATGCTGCAATGCAAGGTTTAAAGTTGGATTTACCAATGAAATGTAGTACAATACGTTGAAGGTACCATTCTCTTAAAAAGGAAAGGAGGAATGAAGAAATGCTGGCTTGCACACCATAGACATTTTTGAATCAAATTCAAAATCCACTGGATTCTCTAGGAATTGTTTTTACTGACTTCAGTGGACATGAATCTGAGGTTACTTAACATAGTTCACCAATGTAACTGTCCTTCATGGCCTTGGGTATCTCCATTACTGAAATGTCCCATACCTTTGCAAATACCTTCTGTAGTGATGGGGCACATTTTCTCCACAGAGCACTTAAAGTGTTTCTTGCTGCCAGCAAAAGAAAGACTATTCTTAATACTATTCTAAGTCATATTATGACCACTATTACACAATGTCTCTATGTTCAGTACTTCAAATTTGACAAACCTTCATGCACGTAAGTTTATGAACAGCTAACTAGGGCTACCGGAATGTTTTACGTTACCAAATGAAAATATGTTTCCGCGGATACATAATCACCGCCACTACTGTCACAAGATCAGGACAGAGTTAAAGGGCAGCAGATGCTAATTTACAATGCAAAACCATTTTTATTCTCATCCCTTGGCTGTTAATTAATAGGCTTCTTAGAAATTTAAGCTGTTTCTCAACATTTAAGTAAATTTTCCAAACTACTCTGTATGTAACAACAATCTTTTGCGCATGCAGTGCTTATAGCACATTTTCAGTTTATGGAAGTATGGTTGTTTATTTATTTATTTGACAACTAAACCAACCAGAGATAACATACAATACCATACAATACCAACCTGTTCTGGCACACTTTATTTCTCTTGGTAGATGTGGGCTGAGGCCAGACAACATGTGCAATGCCCACACTGATTGGTTGAGGGGCAGATAAAGTTATTTGATTGGTTAAAAGAGACTGTGCCATTACTGAGTTGTAATGGCTGCCATGTGAAATCACTTTCCTGGAAAGGACAAAGAAATCATTATTCAAATAAATAAAAATGGCAAGGTATGGTTTTAGACATAGAAATCTATTTTACAATAGCAAAACTATTTGGACATACCCCCAATCTCCAAGCCTCTGTGGGCACGAATCAGAGGCTAGTGTTGTAGCAGGAGCCACAGGAGTTACTTGTTGCCATGCTGGAAGCAGTATTTGCTGTGTTCTATTAGACCAGGTCTGTTATAGACACACACAAAAATAAACTCAGAGAACTACGCTGATATGGAAATGACATTAACATTTAAAAAGAGAGAAACAGATATTGCTGAAAATGAAAGTCAATAATACCAAAAAAATTTAACATACCTGAGAAAGGACTCCTCTTATCTGGAGTGGCTGGAGGGGCGGGGCTTGTGTTACCAGTGGCACTGTATTGTCTACCCTTACAGAGTAACCATTAGGCTTCCCGTGATTAGTTGGAATGCCTAATTTAGACAGAGGGGGAAAGTTAAGCTTCGATCTAATTTATTTTGTATTAAGTACACATTAAATTTCAAGTTCTTTGAGGAAATAAACTAGTCACATTAATTATATTCTTTCCATTATCATCCTTGCAATTTGATGTACATTTTCATCAGGAAAATTCTGTTTCAGTAGCTGAACTTAGATGTTATTCAGCTGATCACCGAACCATGATTTACTGACTGGGAAGGATTCCAAAGGCTCCTCCCTTCCTTCCGTTATTTCAAACAACCTTCCAGGGTTTGAAATTTGTCACAACATCCAAATTAGGCTAGCTACCGATTACTACTAACAGCAATTTGTCTACAAACCAGGAAATGAAATTCTGAGTCTCCAAACTTCTGCAGGCCTGCCCCCTCCCACAAAAAACCCAGAGGTTAATGTTGTAGTGAGAGCCACAAGGGTTGATTTATTTATTCTATTAAAATTAAATTCAGGAATATGATTGGCAAATTGCCCTAAAACAAAGTTAACCCATACTAAACTGAAATGTAGCGTAACACTCAAGATAGAAATCCTTGCCAGAAAATTACAGAACAGCTTGTGCAGGCTATATCAAATAAGCCCTTCAATCATTAGTTGTATCCTCTGTAGTTCTGGGATTAAGGTGTTAATGCATGCTGCAACTCTTTAAGCAACAAGTACTACATGACTGAGAAGCCTTTGCTTATACTGAGCATCAATACAAATTCTCCAAAGTCTGCACCATTTTAGTCCTAGACTCCAAAGTACTAAAAATAAAGAATGTGCAAGGGAAACTTTGTCAAGGAAGTATGAGCAAAAACCAAGGCAGACAAGAAGATTTTCATTAGGGAGTATGACCCAGACGGCACCTGTTAAAGGCTGACAGATTAAGAAGACGACAGACATAGATAGTAGGGTGTGCATTCGGCATAACCCATCCAAATAAATACCAAAAAAACACTATATTGGTATTTTTCAGGTATCGCCTAAGTCAAATACAGACCCTGAAAAAAACTGATTTTATTTGATTTTATTTGGGTGCAGTCAGCTGTACCGAACCCCGACTTTCCTTCCCTCCTCCAGCTGGGAGGCAAGCCAATTAAATCTAACAGCTGATCTGGCGAGTTGTCAGTTTCACTCCCTGTGCTAGTCAGCCGTTAGATTTAAATGCTTTTCCCTCCCAGCTGAAGGCTGTAGGAGGGAGGGGGAAGGCATGTTAGGTGGAATTAATATACGGAAGAGGAATTTAAAATTATTTAGCAACAAAGATTTCAAAATTAGAATGGAAGGATCTGACTCTCTTCTGGACAACTAATAAGAGCTTACAATACAGCTTGTGTCGATTTAACACACAATCAACCTGAAATGTTAACAACGAAGTAAAATACTTTCAAATTGCTTTGAGACTTGTTTCAGGTCATAGGCTTGGATCCTATACCTTCTTCCTGCTTGCACTCCTCTCTGCAGAACCAGTCCTCCACTACCCAGTGCAAATTCCTCTGCCACTATTGGGCTTCCACCCATGCCAGACCAGCCTATTTCAAGAAGCTGAAAACTTCCTAGTGCCAAAAGAATTTGCACTCCACAGCAAAACATTATGTCTGCAACATACAAAAAGGAGCAGAAGAGGAAAAAAGATAGAGGACACATGGCATATTTTCTCTGTCCAAAGCCCTGCAAATACAATGTGTGAAGCAAAAATATTGGCTTGCATCCTAACCCTAAGGTGCTGTTCCACTGGCACAGCAGAGGCTCCTGTGACATGACTTTTTCCCGATCCGCAGAGGAGGGAAGGGAGACCCCCCCCCCTTTTTTTTTACCAATTCTCCATTCCTGATGCAGACTCCCAGTTTGCTACCCACACCTTCGGGTGCACTGACCCACAAGAGTATTAACTTCACAGGGCACAGAAGGCTGCAGTGAGGGAGGGGAAGGTGAGCAGTGGCCTTCCTCTAGCATGACTCTTCTTATACTGCTCAGGATCCCAGCCATTATTTTTCCATTTACACCCTGCCATATACCCTCAGGCGTAGTGATGGCAACACAATCATGCCAGCTGTTTCTAATCTTTTTGATTGAACATTTGAATGGACTCCTACCTTGGATTGCAGGTGGGCATATTATCAGAGTTTGCTGAAAAGCATCACTGCAACCAAACTGAGCAGTTCCTGCTTGTAGTGGTATTCCATGATGCATAATAGAATGGGCAGATGCAGCTAATGTCTGAAATAGTACACAGGGTAGACATTAAAAACTTCATTGCTACATTTTCCAGACCAATGAATTAAAAACATTTTGCTATACAGCTGTTCCTTATGATAGTATGTAAACTGGTAAATAACTTACCATGAAATAGTTAAGCAACGAACATAACTAATTTAAAATATGTCTAATGTTTCTATTTTATCTAACAGTTATTCTCTGTTCCTTTTAATATTTTTGTACATGCGTGTTTGTTATAAATATAGCCAAATAAATCAAAGAAGTGCAAACAGATATATACAAAAAGAAATATAAATACCACATCTCACAGAACTGTAACAAATTCAATTTAGAAATCATATAAATAAATATATGTATATATATGTGTGTGTGTATATATATATAAATTCTTTCCTGTTATTTTTATAATTTTAAAGAATATTTTTATTCTGCAGCAAGTAAATCCCATTACATAAAGACAGCACACAAAGATTTCTTTATTCAGCACATGCTGGCAAATGGAAATCTGACCACATGGGGGCACTGTAATGATGCAATTTTAAAATATAAACACACTGCATGTTCGGTCTGGATTTATGCTCCATAAAACATTTTTTTGTGAGAGGTACGAGGAGGACAACATTGGGACACAGCCCATATCTGGATGGCAACACTGGAAGCAGCTCTCACCAAAGAACTGCCAGAGGCCTCCAGAAGCTTTTCCAACCTCAGCTGATTCTGGCACACAAATAGCTTCAGAGGGTAGCCAGGTTAGTCTGCAGTAGAACTACTAGATATGAGTCCAGTAGCACCTTAGAGAACACCAAGATATTTGAAGTATAAGCTTTTGAGAGTCAAAGCTCCCTTCACTTGTATCTGATGAAGGGAGCTTTAACTTTCAAAAGCTCACACCCAGAAAATTCTGCTGGTCTCTTAAGGCGGTACTAGACTTAAACCTAGTTGGGAAAGGAATAGGGAACGACTCCGAATCACTTTCTAGGTGCTGCCTAGCCTGGCCTCCCACCCTTAGCCTGAAGGGCTTGCTTGGTTCCCCCCCCCCTGCTGTGTCTTGAATGAAGCCATCTCTCTTTTCTGTTTCCAGTATTTTATTTGAGTAGTGAGATGTAAGCAGAAGACTAAAAAGGGCACAAATTAAAGAGTGCCACAATTAAGTCCAAAACCATTTCTGTACTTCCATTTTCTATAATCTCATCACAAAGGAACTTCATATGCATGACCAGGCAGGATGGGGAGGGGGAACACAAATGCTTCATTTCCTATCTCTGAACTACTCTATCATGCCCAAAATACAATTTTCACATTTTGCCCTATAAGATCCTGATGCAGGGTCAAGCTTTTGGGTGAGATGTGGAAGTTCAAACCATTAAAATGAACGATTGGTCTCACTTGTACATTAGGTTCTTCCTTCCAGTGCCATGAAACAACACACACTCATCTCTCTCACACACACCTTGCACAGATCTAAATCCGGAGGAACTGAAAGTTTTATCTCTTTCCATGAATTCCTTTCTCAGTGGTGTTAGGGTGGGGCAGTTTTTACTGATGGGAAGAAGCTCCTCCCTGGAGGAAGGCAGGTCAACTAGCCCTTTTTGGTGATTCCTGATGGGAGGGGCTTCTCCCCCAAACTGACCCAGAAGCAATTCAACTCCCCTAAACTACAAAAATATGCTGTAGCCACATAAAGAGGAAAGCAAACATAGTAACGTGTAAAAACAGAGAGACAGACGAAGAACAACTCTCTGGAAACACACTAGTGAAGGCCTAAAACACACACAGCAAGACAGGTCCTGAAAGTCTACTCTAGTCTCCCTTCAGGGCTGGATGTTGGGTAAGACTGCCCCACCCTAGGACCACTGAGAAAGGAAATTCATGATAACTGGACAAACTTTTCATTCTGCAATGGTCTGGGGTGGGGCAGTCTTCACTAACAGAATACAGAAAAGTAGCATATATCTGGGCCAGTGTTCCCTCTAAGCTGAGTTAGTGTGAGCTAGCTCACAGTTTTTTAGCCTCCAGCTCACACATTTTTGTCTTAGCACAGGAAGGGTGGCTCCGGAGCAAACTAATTGTTGCAGTAGCCAAATCACTCGCTCACAACTTTAATGGCAGTAGCTCACAAAGTAGAATTTTTGCTCACAAGACTCCACAGTTTAGAGGGAACATTGATCTGGGCAAGTATCTTAACCGGCTGGAGTTCCCAGCGGGCAAAGAAACCATCTGCTGGCGCCACCCTATCAATGCAATAGTGACATGTAAAGTATGTACTGACTTCCAGGTTGTGGGCCACAGGGGGATTTAGCAATTGCCTAATACCGGAGTGATGAGATAAACCGCTCTCTTTTCAGCTCCCATTATGGCAGACAGCACCGCAGCCTGGCATTTTAGAGTGCTGGTGCTCTGGCTCCTGTCCTATCCCAACTGCAATAAAATAAGGTCTTTGGAGTCCTGAATGTATCAACTGATCTTTCTTCACTCCAGGACTGAAAAACCCAGCAGGTGTTGTTATACACCTGTGAGATAGCAGGCCCCGCTCCAGTGACAAAGTTTCTCACCTTGAGCGACAAAGTGTCTGGAATAAGGGAATAAAGAGGCAAGTTTAGCAGACTTAAGTTTTGGTATAAAATTCTATTAAGACAAGCTAAGAGAAAAGGGTTAAAACAGGGTTAATGTAGTAAGGGTTAAATTAGTCAAAAGGATTAAAATATTTATTTTTAAATTTAAGTTTATATTTACATTTATTTATTTATTTTATTAAATTTATATCCCGCCCTCCCTGCCTTCCGGCAGGCTCAGAACAACTAACAGCATACAGTAAGGAGGGCAAATAGTAAGGAGGGCAAATAATTAAAACTACTTTTATGTGATAACATGTAGCTGCTCAAACTTCTCAGATGTAGCTAATTTTAGTTGTAATTTTAGTTCTGTTCTAATTTTCTGGTCTAGTTCTAATTTGAGCTCTGTTTTAGCTGTTCAGACTACGCAGGTGTAGCTAATTTTTACTTCTAAACGGGTTCCGAGGTTCTTGGCTAGTTTTACTGAAGTATGGGAAGGGCTAAGCAGTTGGCAAACAAAGGACAAGGATTAAAACAGAGGCCACAGGGCTAGTTTAAGCTCTGATATCACTTTTAAACTTTAGTACTTTAATCTATAGGGCTGCAGTGGCTAAAGTGGTTAAGATGCTGAACTGCAGACTGGAAGCCATCGGCTGCCATTTCCCTCCTTATTGGATTTGAAGGACCTGAAGCTGGTGCTGGATAGGGACTGACAAAAGGAGTGGAACCTCCTTTTCGGTTAGTATCTTTTTTTTATGTGGTGGAACAACCTTCCTTCTTGTCCTTATCCTTCACCAGATAATTATTGATGGTGTACGCAAATAGGTTGACTCCCTGGAGTGGGGCACTAACTACCATGACATGTCATATAAGGTCCACTTTCCAGCTACACAACCAAAGTGTTGGACTTGGTGGTTACATTCAATGTCATTGCTCTGGCCTAAAGTTGAATAGCCATCTGCAAATATACTGGGGAGGTAAGGAGAATTTCTTGATCTCATCCTTTAACTCCTTGGGGATATTGTTGGTTGGGGCTCGTAAGTAAACTGCTCTAGAAAATAGGCAGTCCACTGTTGAGGCCCAGAATGCAGCTGCCAAGGCTTTGAAGTTTTTGCATAGAACCAAATCCATCCCCATTACATGGATCCCTGTGAAGACCATCTGCTTCCACTGGGATTATTGTGTTAGATCATACATAAGTCATCAGTGGTTGCGCTACTGGAAGCTTGAAGTGGTCTGCTGCTTCTGGACGAAAGGGAAAAGGGGAAAAAACTGAACCTAAAACTTAGAATTCAGAACCTAAAAAGGTTAGTCAAGGATAGAAGAGGGCCAACTCTAAAAATCATACAAAAATATACATATATATATATGTATATTTCTGCTGCTTCTGGAACCAGAGAAGAAAAGTTGGAAATAATCTGGTGGTTCTGGCTCACACATCCCATTCTGTTTTTTACAACTCTGTCACATCCTGAGGGGAATGACATGCTAGAAAAGGTAGCTGACCATGAAGACAGGCTCCAGATGAGCCCACTGGACAAGCTGGGTCAGGCTTATCTATTCCTTTTTTGTTCACCAGAACAAAAGAACCTTATGGAAAATCTTGGGGAAAGCCTCTTGAGGGAAAAAGCAAGTTTTCACAGTGATGACCACGGGTTCCTCTTCCTCAGAAAGTCCCTCCTCCTCCTCCTGAGCTGAAGTCCAGAGTAAGGTACTTCTGAAACTTCTGAATCTGGATTTAATAAAGGACTACAGGATTGATAAAGCACTTCAGGATTTATATGTGAAGTGATATGCTGCCCTGAGATGCTTTATGTTTCTTGGGTGGGGGAGGGGAGAACTATGTGGACATCTCCCTCTGAACCCCAACAGATCTGGAAGGAGACTGGGACCTGCTCCTGAACGGGTGCCTATTCCTATTATGCCTTTCAAGTGGCTGCTTAGGGGTGGTGGAGGAAAACTGCCCCTGAAGTTTAGCAGTAGCTGCAGAAGTAGAACCCAACAGTCCTTTCTGCATTTCCCTCTTGATCCACTCCAGAAAGATTACCTCAGCATTTTCTCCCAAGACATCCAGCACTGACTCTAATCTCCCAGCATCTGGGTTCTGCAGGGGACAGACAGGTTCTGTCAGGGGAAGGGAAATAATCCAGCTCTAGGGAGTGGGCTAGCTCTAAGGAAACCTGCTGCACACCAAAATCTGCCAGACGTGCATTCATCGCCATCTTGTTTCCCCTCTCCTTCTTGCCTTTTACCCCCAATGGAGGAGGGGACTGCCACTGTAGCCTGTGAGGGCTATCTGCCTAATTCCCAGACTTACCTAGCCCTGCACTGAAGGGCTGACTGCCGCTCCACCACCAGCTCCCATTGTGCAGGGCAAAAAGGCAAGCCTAGTTGAAGCCACCTCAGGCCACCAACACTCCAAGAGTCCTAGCCAGGATGTGAAGTGCACAGACTCCCTGAAGCTTTCCTGCCACAGGGGAGAACCCAGACAGTGAAGAGGGAGTTTGACTCCTGTGGTCAAGAGCATACCCCTGGCTTCAGGCAGTCGAAAAGGTGCCTTCTCCCTAGCCGGACACAGGAGGTGAGAGAGGGAAGGAAGGAAAGGCTACAAAGGAGAGACAGAGTCACTGCACTCTAAGATACAACTGAAGGATTGGGGAGAAACTCCTTCCATCAGAAGTCACCAAAAAAGGCTAATGATCCTACCTGCCTCCAGGGAGGAGCCTCCCATACTAAAGATTGCTCCACTCTGGACCACTGGAGAAAGGATGAAATGCAAATAGGAAAGATTCAGGCAGGTAGCTGTGTGGGTCTGAAGCAGTATAACAAAGTCTGAATCCAGTGGCATTTTTAAGACCAACAAAGTTTTATTCTGGGTATAAGCTTTCGTGCGCATGCAAACTTCTTCAGATACATTGAAACAGAGTTCACCAACCATTACATATAGGTAGCCAATGAGGAGGATGTTACCAGGAAGGCCCAATTAAAGCTAAGATTGGATTAAGGCAATTAGTAAAACCTGTAAATAGCAGCAGATTAGCATACAGCATAATAAAAGACATTAGCGCGTGTAGTGAGATAAGAAACCGATATTTCTGTTAAACCCCGGGGGTTCCATTGTCCGGAGTGTTGTAATAACGTGTAACTCAGCAATATTCTGTTCTAGTCTGTATCTGAAATTCTTTTGTAATAAAACAGCTACTTTGAGGTCCCCCATTGAGTGTTATATTTAAACAATATATATGTGTGTATGTGTGTGTATAGCATTCTATTTAAAACAATGCCACCAAAAGAGACTCCACGTAGGCCCCTCCTGATGGTCGCAATGCCACGCTGGATCTCTACATTGAATGCTTTTGCTGCAGAGTCCAAACCAATGTGACCAACAACCACCATCACGTACCACAGAGTCTCAGCCACGCTGGAAGGAAGGCCATTGACAGCCTCAGGAAAAAATCCAGATATTGTCATTAAAGAGGCAGACAAAGGTGGTGCTGTTGTCATCATGAGTAGGTCAGACTTTATCAAGAAGGCTCAAAGACAACTCTCAAACCCTGCGTTTTACAAACGATTGTGCTCAGATCCCACACAGGAATACAAAAAAGAACTAAACAAGATTATAAAGAACCCCTGCACATTCAGGAATAAATCCTTTCAGACACACCACAGGAACCTCAACCAGATATTATTTAATCGTCTACACAAAATACACAGACCTGGCAACTCAGGATGCCCCACTGCTCTCCGGCACAGGGATGATCACCACGGGGCTATCTGGATACATGGACTCTGTTCTAAGACCCTATGCCATCAATGCTCCTAGTCATGCGCATGACACCCCAGATTTTCTGAGGAAAATACAGTCCTTAAACAACCTCCCAGGGAATACTATTTTAGCCACCATGGATATGGAATCTCTGTACGGCAACATCCCACACAAAGATGGATTACAAGCCATAAGGAATATGATTTCTGACAACAGCACAACTGACTTTGCCACCAAACTCTGCCATTTTGTTCGCACCCCATAACCACTTCAAATCTGGTGACAACTTGTTCCTTCAGATCAATGGTACAGCCATGGGCACCTGCACAGCCCCACAGTATGTTAACATCTTTGTGGCTGACTTGGAGCAAGGCTTCCAAAACTCCTACCCACTCATACCTCTTTTCTACCTGTGTTACTTTGATGACAGCTTTCTTGTCTAGACACATGGTAAAGAAGTCATCAGGCATTCAATGACTTCCCCCCCACCATCAACCTGTCAATGAACTAATCCATGCTAGAAATACATTTTCTGGACGCTACTGTAAAAATAAACAATGGGTGCATAGATACCACCTTATACTGGAAACCTACTGACTGATAAACACATCTACATGTCTCCAGCTACCAACCTAAACATACCAAACAATCCATTGTACACAGCCAGGCTCTCTGCTACAGCCACATCTGTTCCAGTCCTACAGACATTCTCACCTGAGGGATCTACAACATACCTTTTTGGAACTTAAATATCCACCTGATTAAGTCAAGCAGAATGGTACCCAAAGAAAACCTGTTGCAAGACAGGCCCAAAAGAGACAATAACTGGCCCTTCCCGGCAACATCCTCCTCTATATATAACTGTCGGTGAATTCTGTTTCAATGTATCTGAAGAAGTGTGCATGCACACAAATTTTTACACCCAGAATAAAACTCTGTTGGCCTTAAAGGTGCTACTGGACTCAAACTTTGTTCTGCAAGTAGGAAAGTTTAAGTCACACCAGAGGTACTTACCTGACTTCGTACTGTGCCAATCTTTGGGAAATTAGCAGCCAGACCTGGTAAACTGCCTGAGGCAACTGGTCTCATGTGTGTTGTTTTATTGCGATTATTTGACTCGTATGAACTTGATCGGTACTTGCAAATGTCCATGATATGAAAACAAGATTTCACTCTGATTTAAAAAAAAGAAGAAGGGAGGAAGAGTTCTGAGGAAGGTAAGATTGACCAGCAAGCAAGAATGACGACAACACAGGATGAAAATAATACTCTCCTTGCTTCTTAGGGCCAAACTAGATGTGCTGTGTTCTTCATACGCACAGAATACTCCATGGGGGAGCAGCAGAAATGGAAAAGGAACCCCCCACTCCATTCCCAGTGCTGTTCCAGCACAGAAAAATGGCTACGGATGAAATCAAGGAGTTGTTTTTTCCCTCATGGTGACTAGGGTTGCCAGCTCCAGGTCTGGAAATACCTGAGGTTTTGGGGTGTGTAAAGGGCGGGGTTTGGGGAGGGAATGAACTTCAATGGGGTATAATGCCATAGAGTCAACCTTCCAAAGTGGCCACTTTCTCCAGGTGAACTGATCTCTTTTGCCTGGAGATGAGTTGTTAACAGCAGGAGATCTCCAGCCACCACCTGGAGGTTGGCAACCCCAGTGGTGACATTCACAGACATTCCCTATAGCTGCTGTGTGGCTGCAGGGACACAGAGTTGTGTCTGGGGAACCCAGGTCCAACTCTTTGGGAACCACTCAGTGTTCAGAACACTCAAACTGCCACAGAGGCGCCCCCACCTATTTACACTGGGAGGCCGAGGGCTGCATCCAAACCCCCCACTCGCATGGTATCTCAACTGGACTGGCACGGCCAGGGAATTCTACGGTTTTTTGTGGGATGCCCATTCAATAGCAGGTCCCCTCTCCCACGCCACATTCCAACCTGTTCCTGAAGGTCTCCCTAACCTCAAGAGCAGCTGGGGGGGCGCATAAAGGGGTACAACAGAAAACAGCTTATGGCAAAACACCCATTTCACAAGGCCGAGCCATATTTGAATCTTCATGATGATCAGTAGCTAGATAGTTCAGCTAACAAGGAAATACACACTCTTTCTGGTGATCACAAACTGTGAACAGAAAAAACTGAAGTGCATAATAATAGCATGCTGCAGTAAAAATCTCAATCATGAGTTCACGGCAACAAAATTACATTCAAATGTTTCGGTGTACTTCACACTTGACAGACACAGCATCAGTGATTAGCTTGGGGTGCTCTGGTCAGCAATGGGCTCCCCTGAGGTAGGAGCAGAAGCCACCCATCTGCTCAGATCCAGCCATTCACATGTACATAGAAGAGGTACAGGTCCATGGCTAGAGTTGTAACATCAGTGAGATGGCGGCTGCTTCTCAGTCTAGGCAGAGGCTTCCTTCTGCACATAGTTATGCATGTGGTACAACTGCAGCATGACAAATGAAGTACGGTTATGCATGCAGAGGCTAAGCGCCTAGCAAATTATCATGAGAATGGGGCACGCTATCAAATGCTGCAAGATCCCTCAGCAAAAATAATAACAGCCCAAAATGGAACCTGTCAGAAAGCCACTCCCAGAATTATTTTTAAGAGCTTTATACAACATACTGGTTGCTATGAGGGAAATCCAGGAGGTGCTTCATGGTAACAAAAGGATGGTTCAGTGTGTCAGCTGGGGTGATTCTTAAATCAGCATCTATCAATAACATTTTCTTCAATAAGCTAACAAACTCTTTTCTGTCTGCTTTCTCTGCCAACAGATCACTTCCTTCCAAATCCATCACCATGTTCACCTAGCATGAAGCAATAGAAGAAAACAAGCAGGTATTTCAACTTATTAATTTTTTTCAACAGACAACGATCATTTTAAATTATGTTATGAGCATTACCTCATCCTGTGTACTAGTCCACATTTATTTAGTTCATATCTGCCCTGTCTTTCTCCTTAGGGGGGGACCTGTATTTAGAGGCAATGTTCCCTCTAAGCTATGGAGTCTTGTGAGCAAAAATTCTACTTTGTGAGCTACTGGCATTAAAGTTGTGAGCAGGTAATTTGGCTACTGCATAAATTAGTTTGCTCTGGAGCCAGCCGTCCTGAGCGAAGACAAAAATGTGTGAGCCAGAGGCTAAAAAACTGTGAGCTAGCTCATACTAACTCAGCTTAGAGGGAACACTGTTTAGAGGTAGAGTTACTGGAAAAGTGGACAAGGACTGATCGCAGGAGAAGGAGAACTGAAATGTCATTTAGACATCAAGCACAATTTTTATAGGCAGGCATTAAATGGCATTTTTTTAAAATGTGCCTTGGTCAAACCTTGGTCAAACATGAATTTTCTAAAAATGTGCCTTGGTCAAACATGAATTAAAACTATTACAATATTAGTCCGATATTAGTCCTATGAAGTTAGAGCAAATATGTTTCACACTGTTTCATATGAAGACTTAAACTTCCCAAACTTTTTTGATGAGTCCAATAAACACTCAGCATTGCTACTGCAGCAGGAAAAAATAAATGGCATGGAACCAACTACTCTCTTGCTAGGGGGCCTGCAGACCTCCAGGAGCAAAGTGGTGTGGGTGGGGGGCTATCAGCAGGCTATAACAGGAGAGGGAAACAGGAAACTAACTGTTGTTCTTCAAGTGGTCATCTGTGCATTCACAGTAATGAGCTCTGCATCTGTACGGAGCTTCATTTCAGAAATGTCTAGAGCAAGCATTCAGGTGCAAAAACATCCTGCCTCAGAGATGCTGCTTCAGACAGCGCCTGCCTGCAGCTCTTTTGGAGACTGCAACCAAAAATGCCACCTTAAAAATGAGTAATCATATCAGGTGGCCATTAGCTTAAAAGGTCAATCAACTGGTTGAAGAAGGACAAGGTCCAGGTCCCATACAGGCATCAATGACTGGAGGATAAAGTATCACCACAGGTCGGGTGCACAACAAACATCCTTGCAGGAGAGGTTAGAAAGCAGATGGCAGCTAAACAAACCTAGAAATGACTGCACTGTGACTAGAGACAGAAAGCGGAGGATGGCAGTCACTGGACAGGTAGATTGATCCCATCCATAGTGGAAAGTAAAGATAGTGATCCACTTGTAGTCATAGGATCATTTGGTGAATGACTTTGTACATTAAAGGACCTCCACTCAAAGCCTCTGGCATCAGTTGACTGGCTGAATCCTCCAGGCACTAGAGATGCAAGAGAACGAAATCTGCAGTGGTGTGACAGGAGAGCTGGCACCTTAAGGAGGCTGATATAATGGCCTTGAGATAGTTGCAGGACACTTATGAACCACAGCTGGTACGATCAGGACGCAATCCATGCAGTCTCTCACTATCTGCCCTATTACCCTGCAGTCTAGGGGAAAGGCACAAAGAATTTCTAGGTGGCTAATGTGAAGCTTTTTTCTCCTGGAATGACCAGGGTTGCCTGAATGCATCATTCTACAGTGAGTACTCCAACTCCAGAGGGTCAAGCAAGGAGGGAAAGGTTAAACTGGACACAATAGTCTAGGCCAGGAGTGTCAAACATGTGGCCCGCAACCCAGATCCGGCCCCCAGAGGGCTCCTATCTGGACCTTGAGCAACTGGCTCTCTACTGCTTCCTTCTCCAGTTCTGCAACTGCTGCATTGCGGCTTACTTTGCCCGACTCTCTTGATTGCACAGGAGAGATAGATAGGCAAGCCTCTGCCCTCTGCATTGGTTGAGACTCCTCCCCTTCCTCCTTCCAGGGGGAGGAAGGGAACAAGTCAGAGCATGCTTTCTGGCCTGGCTCCCTCAATCATAAAGGGAGACAAAGGCAAGCCTTTCTTCCCTTCCATTGGCTGAGGCTCCTCCTCTTCCTCCCCTTTGCTCGGCTGCCTCAATCACACGGGAGAAATACAAAGCACCTTTAAGACCAACAAAGTTTTATTCAAGGTATGAGCTTTTGTGTGCCTGGGTACAGTGTGTATGTATTTTGTTCACCTTGTTATGCTGTGTGTGTGTGTGTGTGTGTGTGTGTTGTTGGGCTCTTCATGCTGTGGTTCTCCTGGGTTTGCCTCCCCTTTATCACTGTATTCATGCCCTCAAGAGCCAGTATTTCTCAGTAGGAAAGCAATGTGAACTATTTAGATGAGGAATAACAACAAGTCAGTGAGTTGGATTAGGCTGAGAGAGTGTGTCCAGACCAAGTTCACCCAGCACATTTCCTTTGTAGACTGGGGGTTTTGAACCTAGACTTCCCAGATAGCAGGCTGCTACATGACTGTCTCTCTATTCTTGCACTGCCTCATAGGAGTTGTAGTTATTTCTCTGGGGAAGACTACAATTTTGTAGACAAACACATAGCCCTCGGTCTGTGTCAGGATCCCTTCTCATGTTCTTGACCAGCACATGAAGCAATTTATGTACAAAAGCTCACAATGCCCAGCAATGCCCAGCCATTTCATGTTTTCCCCTGAGAGCACTGACCATGAAATCTCTGTAATGAATGTCAATAAATCAAAAGTAGGTTTGCAGCTTTCAGATATACACCTGAACAGCATACTCAAGATTGCTGCAGCACAACCATTTTGATGCAATAATTCAGAGCTAGGTGTCAGTTATCAGAGACTGTTAAATAAACAAAATATTGCAAGACTGCTAATGTTTTAAGCATGTTTTTATTTTAAGTTTAAAAAAATAATCTTTAATTGTGTTTGTGTCCTTTATAAAGTTTATATCTCTGCTACCTGGCATTACATTTGATGACACACATGGCCTGGCCCAACAAGGTCTCATTTGTTTCAGATCCGGCCCGGATAACAAATGAGTTCGACACCCCTGGTCTAGTCTGTGCTGGCAGGCCACCACCTTCCATGGCATAAGAAGCAGCTTGTCTTGTGGGACTATCATAGGTTAGAATCTGCATAGGAACCAAAGATGCAGAGGTTGCATCTGAACCCTGGCAAAACAGACCACAGAGATGGCTGCTGCATTGAAATTAAGGAGATGCTGAATTTGTCTTGCTGGCTGAGACAGATGAAAAACACAGTCAAGTCCATAAGGGGACTCCTTCAGTCTGAAAGTAGGTAAGAGTCGAAAAGAACCTCTATGAATTGGAGGGTTCTGGCAGCTGTAATTTTTCTCCATTTACCCAAAGGCCTAATAAGGCCAGGTGTGAGTGCTATAGGGTGACAGAGAGACCATGGCTCTAAAGCAATTGCCTTATGGGTTGAAAAATGTCCAGTCCTCATCCTCCTCCCACTCCGGCCTCCCCTATAGCTTTTTTAAACCCCAGCTGCATGAAAACCAAATACAAAGAGGGAACAAGGTTTGAATAAAGGACAGTGGTGTGTAAGCTATGTGCACCCTAAAGGTCTCTTATTTGGAAACCTACTACACCAAGGCTGTATCTGTGAGGTAAAATGAGATCACTTTTTCTTAGACATTTGACTTGACAAACAAAACCCAGACAGAGATGGACAGCAACGATTTACTTAACAGAAATAAAGTATTTAATAAGGTAAATATTATGTGTAGATGACTTCAATCTATAAGGTAAATAAAACTGGCTCTCAAGTAAAGTAAATAAATCCTCCGAAGGGAGATTTGTTTCCCCTTTCTCCGGACATTTACCTCAGCAGGTTCAAGGCTGTTCTTTTCCCACACAGAGCATCTTTCAAAATCCAAATCACGCCAGTTAGGAATGACAGGCCCTTAACAGGGCGCTTATTTGTCACACTGAAATAAGTTCTCTTCTCTAAGCCGATCCCCAAACCCTAACTAAAAGCCAAATCCTTACTAAGCAGACACTCCTTTCCAGAGCCATCAAATCCCTGTCCAAAGAAAAAAACAGTTTTCTTATCCCTTCCTAAACTGAGCCTGACTTCACCCCCCCTCCCATCCAGTGGAGTTCGATGGGCTCTGACCGGCTGACAATCACTTAGGTTTGCATGAGGCCTAAATCACAAGAGTGAGATTAGAGCCCTAGAGCAGAGGCGGTGCTTTTAAGGATGATTGCCACACCAGGTTACACAGTGTCATCCGTACATGATAAATGAGGAAAAGATGAGAGGATGTTGCCAGAAGCCAGTCAACATATGGAAAAACAGTAATCCTTCAGTGACGAACATACGCTGCATCACTGGCCATGAGCTTGGTGAAAATACCTCAGGCAACATAGGGACAGAACATCTTGTTACTGGTACTGAACATCTTCCACGGGGAACTGGAGAAAACAGCCATGTTGCAGTCAGATGGAGGTGAAAATACGTGCCCTTGAAGTTCTAAAGCAAACCAAGCTCCCAGGACCAGGTGAAATCAGAGTGGACAGTAGAGTCACCTCTTGAAACTTCTTGGTCTTGATGTATTCATTGACATCCCAGAGATAATGAAATTGTTTCAGGACAATGAAGTACCAGACATAGAACTACAGGACCCTTTGGAAGTGAAGCACTGCTTCTCTCACCTCTGTAAAAAAGGATTCCATCTCTTGGAGGAGGGATGGGTTGGGAGAGGGAGATACAAAACCTGGATAGCGGAACTAAATAACTCTATGGCATATCTCAGTCTGACAACTGTAAGGATTCAGTCATCTGATGTTAAAGTCTCCTGAGCTAGAAGGTCTTGGCAGAGGCAACGAAGTCACACAGAAGGAAGAGCAGTCAGATGCAGTATGGGTGGAGCCTGTGTGTCTAGACGTGGGATTCCTGGAGTTCTACCTCTTTTGTTAAAGGAAGCAGAAAATGCTGCAAGACTGCACTGTAGGCTGTAGTTTCTGGGATACTCTCAAGCACTTCAACTGTCTTCATGCTAAAAATGTCCTCTGCCTTTGAAGGGCAAGTCTTCAGTCTTGGTCAAAAGCTTCAGTCTGCAGTGAGGTGGAATGTAGCCACATATTACAACAAATTGTAGTGGCAGCAGCCATAATCTTTGTAACGTAATTATCAGTAACATGCTTTCGGATCACCAACTGCTGGCACACAAGATGCAAAGGTACTCTTGTTGGCATAAAAACAGGACATTGCACAGAAGGAGCATTAGTAGGAATCTCCAGAAAAGGTGGTTAAATCTCCATTGGGAGAAGCAGATGTCACAGGGGATGCGGAACAAAGAAACGAGAACAGGGTATTTTTGATATTGTTGCCAATTGGAGAAGTCTGGGAGCCAAGGAACCTCAACCTGCTGCATCCAAGAAAGCATATGGTATGGCCCGCCCCTGATGCAGCAGATTCCAAGCAGCTACCCAAGAAAAGAAGAACTTGTTTACCATAATGCCATTTTCGTTGAAAGCATCTAAATTGATGAGATTTGAACTTTTAAAGAAGTGAAGTTAAATTAAGAAGCAAGGTATCTTACAAGGAGAAAGCAACTTTTAATTTCATATACACTGGCGGAGCTATTGAAGATTACATGGAAGTTCAAGTTCTTTCTGCAAGCAAGCTATCTAATGGTACTACATTGAAATTATAACAAGGGAAAGGTCTTTAAATAGTAGGCAGTCCTGGGAAGATAACTCTCTCCAAGCAAAATTAGGCAGAGGCCAAAAAAAATACACGAGAGTATTTTTTAAAAAACTTTAAAAAAACATATATGTATGTATAATACATTAAGCATATTTATGGAATTCATATTCCACCTTTCCAGAGACCTGCTCAAGGAAGCTTACAAGTAAATACAATACCACAAGACCATAAAAAACAACATAAATATCAATATTAAGCACAAGCCATAAAAAGATACTCACATGCACTATTTCATCCAAACTGTTGAAAATATACTTTCGAGCCTCTTTAGATTTCATGCCTGTCTCTGCTTCATGCTCTTCCAGTGTCTTCAGAAATTTGAAAATACACACATCATTTTCATAGTATTATGAGTAACTTACATAGTGAACAAAAACTATAGCAATTTATAATACATATATTACAATTACTATGTTTTGGCTTAGTTATAAGATGTGGCCATTTACAGTGATGGGAGTTAATGCATTTTAAAAGTGCATGCTACCAAATTAGTATTTGGTACAGATACTTTGGTACAGAGAGCCAGTTTGGTGTAGTAGTTAAGTGCACGGACTCTAATCTGGGAGAACCGGGTTTGATTCCCCACTCTTCCACTTGCACCTGGCTGGATGACCTTGGGCAAGCTATAGGGCTGATAACGAGCTGTTCTTGAAAAAGAGCAGTTACTGTCACTCAGCCCCACCTACCTCACAGGGTGTCTGTTGTGGGAAGGGAAAAGGAAAGGAGTTTGTAAGCTGCTCTGAGACTCCTTTGGGTAGTGAAGGGCGGGGTATAAATCCAATCTCTTCTTCTATTTTTTAGCAGAACAGAAGTGGCTCTTGAACTTCCAACTGCTGGGTTGGGTCCCACCGAGTATTTCTCTGTGTATGACAGTCCTTGCAGAAGCACTAAAGTTATTCCTCACTTATGCTAAATAAAGGTTATTGTACCTTCACTATCTTTTCCACTGGCACAAAGTATTTCTTTAGATACAGTTTAAAAAGCAAACAGAATGAAGTCATGTAAGCCATCCGTTGTACTTTCCAGTGCTTCATATTAACATTGTTACTTCATTAAAAACTGTATTGAAGTGCTATATGTTGTTGCAGTGGTTGCACTACTGTTTGTGCAAGTGAAATACAGTAAATATGTTTTCCTTTGCACTCACACATCACTGGATCCAGCCTACTGTCTACTGTCTGATCTAATTTGGAAAAGTGGGATATAAACTTTTAATGTAAACTAGTTTTGTCATCATTTCCAATGGAATACTCAGTACTCTCACTGGACAATGAAGTGCTACCTAGATCAGATTTAACACAAAGTTCCACAGGGAAGTACAGATGTAATTTCATTGTATACAGAATGCTGCAATGATAGAATGACAGAAGTCAGGTTCAAGTAAATGAACATGAGCACATGAACCTTCAGCTGAAATGCTGTAAAAATATGACTAATAGTTTGGTCAAATGAATGACTGTTAACACTTTACAAATTGAGAGTTGTTTCCAGTAGAACAGCTCATAGGTGCTGGAGCAGTGGATCTTTCCACACTAGTCACCCATGGAAGAGGAAGGAGGAGATAATTTAGATGCTTCACTGCTACAGTGCCATGTAATATTTGCTAGGCTTTCCCCAAAACAGAAAGGATATTTGGGTCAATCAGCAGACCACTAGAGAAAGGCAAGGAAAGATCTGTTTTGGTTAACTTCCCTGCTTGATCCAACCCTAAGTGTGCTATTTAAAAGGTTTATTACAATTAGAAGGCAAATAGA